ATGTATATATGTATATGTATATGTATATGTATATATGTATATATATGTATATATTTCAACGCTATACTGAATACAGAACATAGCAGGAACAAGGACGGGTTTTGTTTTGGTTTTTTTGCTTTTATTTATTATTTTTAAGGAATAAGTCTGTTTTCAGTTCTTTCATTAGGAAAGATATCTTTGCTATACAGAACTCACACACACAAAGTAATAAAATCCCCAACACAAAATATTATTCCTCACAAAGTCCACACTTTATTTTTAAAAAAGTGATTATTTGGGTTCATAAAAGGGTTAAAACTTAATATATATAATATGTGCAACTGTAAACAGATGTATGGGACAAGGCGTCAAATGCGGTTATACAGGCAGAGAACTTTAAAAAATTTTTTAGCTTCAAGACCAGGTTATAGTTTATATAAAAATTAAAAATTGTATAGTCTTTTTCTTCATCAGCTAAAATCTACAGAATTATCTTAAACTCTAACCGTCATCCCAAAAAATCTTGACAATCTATTATATTCAGTCATTTTATCATCTTTAAAATCTCTCTCAAGCTTTTAAACCTTTGTAGCAATTCTTTAAAATTTATTTTTTTTACATCTTTACAGCCTTCCAAATTAATGGAAAGACACACAAACAAAATCCAAAGAGACAAAAATGTATACTGGCTTTAACTCAAACCTTTATTTTAAAACAACGTCCAGTGGTTTCGTAAATGATAAAAATTCCCCCCTTCTCTACACAAATGTCATCTTATATACAGTTTTAATTACTTTAATAATCTGTCATTACCTCCCACTGTTTTTAACCGTCATAGCTTAGATCGGTTTTGCAGAAGCAGCTTTTTCACTCAAGAACATGGTTCTCATCTTGCCACAAGTTAAAAAAAAAGACACTTTTGCATGCTAACCCTGATTTTATTCCCCCCCCGTTGTCCTTCTTCTGACTATGACTATGCACATTCTCTCTGCACTGTCTTGTTGATCATCGGTGAACTGTGGCCTGTTAGATGTCTTAATGCCACTCTTATGGGCATACTGGGGGATGTGTGTGTGTTTAAAAACCGGAGAGGGGAAGTGGTGCAATTGTGCGTTAAAAGATCTGAACTATACATAGTCGGTCAAGAGAGCCTTATCCATCAAGACCCTTCGACTTTTGCCCCTCTCGCATGCCAACTTCAGTTCAAGGGTACAGCAGTCTTCCAAAGTTTCATTCAACAGCAGGGAGAACATGTGTATATTTTAGAGGATGAAAACACATGTCTGACTGTCTCCCCTGTATAATGCCCATAGTTTGCCTTCGGTTAATAAGGAATTTCCCTGTAAGGGGTTGGGGGGGAGATGCTGCTGGGCAGATGGCTCTTTAGATACTGGTTATAAACTAATTTTTTTTCTTATGTTTAAAAAAAAGCAAAATATATATGTATATACACACAGAGAGAAAGCGTAGAAACAAGCTCTTTACACGCTTCCCCTTCCTACCCAAAGTTCTGCAAATAAACAAATGTCTCTCTCCCATAGTTCCCGTCCCGCCCAATGGAGGGGGGAAAGGTTCTGCAGAGATCCACCCAGCAGTCCAGAAAACCCTGCAGGCAGGGCATTCCTCCCCATGCTATTTCAAATATATACACAATATATATATATATATATTTATATATATATTTATTTATTTATATAAATAGATAAATAATCCCAAACTCTGCAATGTGCCCACATCTCTCAATCTCCTCCATTTATATATACATACATAATTACACGCGCACATCCACACACATCCACACCATGAGCCTTCAGAGCAGCAAGTTGATCATGGGAGACTAGAGAGGGAACTGCCTCTGTAAGGGAGTAGGGGGGCCTAACTAGGAACCCGCTCTCCCCCACCTGACAACCCCAGAGTGCACCAATGCTAACCACCGGCTGCCTAATCCAATGAACACTTCCCTTTTCTGCCCCACAGGCAAAAGGATCTATTGGCTCTGCTGGGGTTGGCCTCTGGTGACCTGGAGTTCTCTCTCCTCGTGATGCACTGGCATATTCAAACCACCTCATACTTTGTGGTGCGTTCGGCTCTTCTGTTGACAGATAGGAAATCCCAGAGCTCTGCAGCTCAGCCTCAAAAGAGTTCGAGGAGACTGAATACTATCTGGGGTTGCCGGGAGACTGGGGAGAGAAAAGGAAACAAGGCAAAGGACAAGTCCAGAAGAAGACATTTCTCATCTCACCTCATAATAGTTTCCCATGTATGACAGGGCAGCTGTGGCTCTCCGGGTTCAGGGAAGAGGGCTCAGAAAGAAGGGTGGCACAGCGAGAGGCTCACATTAGAGAGAGAGAGAGAGAGAGAGAGAGAGAGAGAGAGGGGAAAAAAAACAAAGACACCAAAATCTAACGCTTTAAATGAGGTAGGTTCAAGTGCAGATGCTCCTCGCACATGGAAGATTGGAGGGGGGGGAGGGCTAGAGACAGGGAAGTTCTGTTTCCAATTTCTGCAAGGCAGTGCCTGCTTTCTCTCAGAAACAGACTTTTTCCAAAAAGCACACGTATAGACACCCACACTCACACACATTTTAAATCCAACACCTAAATTAAACAAAATCCAGAGGGAGGTGCTCTGGAAGGTGGATTGTCAAGCTAAACAAGTCTCTTTGAAGTCTCTTGTTACCTTGGTAGATTAGCAAGCAATAGAGATTAGGGTTTTTTGTTTTTTTTTAATTCTTCTTGCGCCCAACACGCACACACACAAAGGAAAAAAACCCTACAAATTCTTCCCTGGGGATTCAATAGCCATGCTGCAGCCCTCTTTCCCCAGCTCTGCTAGACAGAATGCCCCAGTCTCTCCCCCCACCCCAGTATATTTCTGATAGTCCATTATTTACAGGTGCACAGGGGTAGAAGGATCCCCATTTCGGCCACAAAAGAAAAATACTAAAAAGAAAACCCTGAGTTCCAGTTTATCAGTTTCCCACCCCAGATGGAGTTGCTAGCGGCTGCTGCTTTTTGTTGGGGAAAAAGTTGGTTGCCTTGTCAAGAAGCAGGAGGCAACTGGACCCAACTGCCAAAAGAACCAACTTGATATAAACCTCCACCAATATTGGCTTGCAGGGGCAAGTAGGCTGACACTGCCCCCTTTAAATCTGGGTCCTGGCTACCCCACGAGCATGTTGGGATGGCAAGTTCCAATCATGCTTTCCCTGGGTGACTCTCTACCACACTGGCTGGTTGGGAGAGCCGGCAGAAAAGGCCTCTCTCACCGAGCCTGTGCCACCATTCGTGCCAGGCCATCAGGGTTGGCCTCTGCCTTGTCAAAGAGCCTCCTGGGGCTAGTTCATCCACTTCCTGCAGTTCCAGGCTCCACAATGGCACGGGATTTTGTGCTGATCATCTTCAAAGTCAAACTGGTAGTCATATGTCAGCTGCAGAAGAAGGAAATTGGAACAGAGTAAGGCTCGGGCTTTTTTCTGGCACCCCAACGGCTGGCCCTCCAGAGGGGTTTGGATGAGAAATCCAAGCCCTTGCAGAGGCCACCAGGAGGAGGGCAGCTGCTCCAAGAGTTGTTCTGTTAGTGAGGTCTTAAGGTAGGTTCACTTTCATTTTCTACCAGCAGCGGTAGAAAAGCAAAATGGCCTTCCCTTCGACATATTTCTATTCCTGAACTATAACAAGAACATGGATACACAGTCATGTGAAAAAGAAATACACCCCATGTAAAGTCTTTTTCTTTTTTAACAATTGTGGATATTTTATCTTCATTCAAACAATTTATAAAGATAAAGGTGATATAATTGAACAAAAAAAAACCCCTATGAAAAATCAACTTTGCAATCATTTATTCAATAAAAAATTAAAAGAGATGCCATTTCCTTCCATAGAAAAAGTAAGTACACCCTTGCCTCTACTACCTGGTATTGCCCCCTTTGGCAGAAACAACCTCAAGTAGGCATTTCTTATAACTATCAACAGCCTCTGACATCAACTGGGAGGAATTTCTCCCCACTCCCTCATGTAGACTTTTTTCAGCTGTTTGAGGGGTTTCTTGCATCCACAGCCAGTTTCAAATCATCCCACAGCATCTCAATAGGATTTAGATCTGGGCTTTGACTTGGCCATTCCAGAACCCTCTATTTCTTTGTTTTTAGCATTCCTTGGTGGATTTACTGAGATGTTTAGGGTCACTGTCATGTTGCAAGGTCCACTTTTGGTTGACCTCCAATCTTCTGACAGATGGTTTCACATTATCCTTAAGCACCCACTGGTACAATGAAGAATTCATAGTGGATTCTATGCTGCCCTGATGCAGCAAAACAGCCCCAAACCATAACTTTTCCACCATCATGCTTTGCAGTTTGTATCAAGTTCTTCTGGTGAAGTGCTGTCTTGTTTTTACTGAACCTGTCTTCTGGTATTGTGGCCAAATAACTCTATCTTCGCCTTGTCTGTCCGGAGTACGTTGTTCCAGAAGTCCTGGTTTTGCCTAGGTGTTCAATGAGCAAACTTTAGTCTTGCCCTGGTGTCTGGACAGCAAAGGTTTCCTCCTGGCACACCTCCCATATAGATCTAATTTGTGCAGCTTCTTCTAATGGGAGACACATGCACTTTGACATCAATAGTGGCAAGAGCTACCTGTAGCTCATGTAATGAAATTCTGGGATTCTTAGAGACTTTTTTCAGAACCTTGTGTTCTGCTCTTGGGCTGAACTTGCTGAGATGGCTTGGCCTGGGCAAGTTGGCAGTTGTTTGAAATCTTCTCCACTTGTAGATGATCTTCCAGACAGTGGAATGATTGATGGCCAATTGTTTGGTGATCTTTTTAATCTCTTCCCAGACTCATAGGCATCTACAACCTTCTTTCTGAAGGCCTCAGAGAGCTCTTTCGATCTAGGCATAGTGATACCACAGACTTCAACAACAAAGAACAAACTAAATGTCCAAAGTTTAAATAAGGCAGATTCCTCACAGATCCTCTCTAATGATGTTCTAATCATTTGCACCTCATCTGGTACACCTGATTCTAATTTTAGGTATTTGAGGTAGTGATAAATATAGGGGTGTACTTACTTTTTCCACATGCAAAA